TTGTCCATGTCTCTTGTCCTTTCTTGTGTCATATCTATAGTGGTGTTTATATTCCAGATAAATGCCAAGAAGATCCTAAAGGCCTTCCTGCGTTATTATCGTATCGATTCCTGGATTCCGGATTGTGGCTCCATCTCTCTCTCTCTCTCTATCTCCTGGATACCGATCCTGAGCGTTCTCGTTCTCCTGCAGTCCGAGACAGACCAGGCGGTTTATCTACTCCTTTCCTCCTCCGCTGTTCTTATCCTAGAAGCAACCAGGCGATCCTCGCATGGACGGAAATAGGAGGACCACTCAGACCGGAGCAGATACACAGGTGTGTAACTTGTGGAGGAACTGAGCAATTAATAAAATAAACAAAATATGAAAATTCCAGAAAGCAGGAGTAGAGGAAGTACGAGGAACTCAGCAATTAATAAAATAAAAGAGAGAAATAGGATGGAATGAGGATAGATTTGTGCACAAATAAGACGTAAGAGAAAAATAGCAATAGAATTAAAGAAAAGAGGAAAAAGAAAAAGAAATGGATGAAAATCAATACAAGAGGACAAAGAAAAGGAAATGGATGAAAATTAATTCAAAAAGACAAAGAAACGGAAATGGATGAAAATCGATACAAGAGGACAAAGAAAAGGAAATGGATGAAAATAAATACAAGAGGACAAAAAAAAAAGGAAATGGATGAAAATTAATTCAAAAAGACAAAGAAAAGGAGATAAATGAAAATATATACAAGAGGAAAAAGAAAAGGAAATGGATGAAAATAAATACAAGAGGACACAGAAAAGGAAATGGATGAAAATAAATACAAGAGGACAAAGAAAAGGAAATAGATGAAAATAAAAACAAGAGGACAAAGAAAAGGAAATGGACGAAAATAAATACAAGAGGACAAAGAAAAAGAAATGGAAACAAATCAATACAAGAGGACAAAGAAAAGGAAATGGATGAAAATAAATACAAGAGGACAAAGAAAAGGAAATGGATGAAAATAAATACTAGAGGACAAAGAAAAGGAAATGGAAGAAAATCAATACAAGAGGACAAAGAAAAAGAAATGGAAGAAAATCAATACAAGAGGACAAAGAAAAGGAAAGGAATGAAATTAAATACAAAAGAACAAAGAAAAGGCCTGGTTGAAAACGAATACAAAAGGACAAAGAAAAGGCCTGGATGAAAATGAATGAAAAAGAAAAAGATGGGAAAAGAACAAAGGATAAAAAAGGAATAAAGGAAGAATATAGGATATGTGTAATATGTTGATATAGAGTGTGTGCTGAATAGTACATATACATGTATACAATGATTGTGCATATTACAGGGAGTTAAATAAAAAACGATCCCAAACAGTTATTTTTTAGAATTTCTTGTTTTAACCTAAACAGTAAACACTTTAAAAAATTGAAAGAAAAAACTGTATAATTTAAAATTTGGACATTTTTTTGAGTTTTTTTGTACTCTCTTCATCTAGAGTTCTATAGACCTCTGAGATACAATCTATAAAGAGTATCTTGAGCTCTAATAGTACAAACATAGTAGACACAGAGCAAACAGACCGGGTCCTACTTCAACCTTACTCCGGTATACCCTAGAGATAGGATTAAGGATACGAGGGAAGGAAGGGGAAATTAGAAATACATATTACACAGGTTTATTCGTCTTAGATTGAAAAAAGAGTCATGCGAAGCGTCTTTCGTCTATAGTTGGAAGCGTCCCAATAAACATAGAATCATATTTAGAATTATTTAGTAAATGTTAAACAAAACTGTATGAATATATATTCAAAAATATGGTTGTCCTTCTTTAAGTCTTGAAACATGAAGAAAATATTCAAACTTGAATTTTATAATTCCTAAATATTTCAATTCAAATGATGTAAACCTTTGATATTTCAAACTTAGAATATTTAATCTTACAGAATTCGTAGCTTAAATATCTAAGGTCTCATTGGGTTGCAAATATATAGGGAACAGAAAATTAGAGATTTTTGCAAAGACTCAATTCCTTTGTATAGCGTTAAGAATTTTTACATGCTCTGTAGAACTTTTTGAGGCACAACACTGGCTGACCACATATTTGAAACCAAAAATGTTGTTTAATGTTATAAATGTTGTTTAATGTTATAAATGTTGTTTAATGTTATAAATGTTGTTTAATGTTATAAATGTTGTTTATTGTTATAAATGTTGTTTATTGTTATAAATGTTGTTTGATGTTATAAATGTTGTTTAGCTTGAAATATCTAAGGTCTACAACAATGCGTTGTTAGGATTAAAGGATTTAAAAACCAGAGTTTGTGGCAAAGACTCAATTCCTTTGAGAATTTTTAATAGTTTTAGGATCTAAGATTTTAACTATTGGAACTGAAAAAGACATAAACTGTGTCTCGAATTCAAATTTTAACCTCTAACTCTTGTTCATGTAAAAACATTAGGATGATTAAAGGCATGGAAATTTAATTACCAGTAATCATATTTTTATATGTTTTAGTACGAAGTATAGCCCGGACATATTCTTGTCAAACCCTGGTAGTCCTCATCTCATGGACTAACCCTCCGGTCTCACGATAAACTAATGGTTCTGGTTAATGTCCCCTCAGTCTTACTTTTAGAAACCCATTTAATCATCCATTATTTGTGGATATTTCGTATTTTTTATATCATACTTGTTGTTCAGGTATATATTATGAACATTTAGATATATAATATCTCGTACGCAATTATATTGACGGATTTTGAATTAGAGAGTATAAAATATAACTGATATAAGACAGGATGCATGTTACGTCAAACTGAAGTACATGTTATTAATATTTGTTTTAGATCCTAACTCCTCTTATTTAAGAGATATTGAGAAGATAAAAATGTTTAAAATTTCTATTATATGGAACCGGATAAATTTTCTTTTCTAATGTTTGTGTGAAAAATCAAAACTCAAGGAGCTACGATGATACAAAGCCGTAACACTAATACTAATTCTCCCTTTGTCTAGTTCAGTGTGATGTAGTAAGTTTAACGTGTACCCTACCCTATATACTATTATTAATACACCGAGCTTATGCATCTACTTTGCACGACCTGAGGTGTACTTCATGAACTGTTTGAAATGTATGATTAAACTATGGTTGCAGGTAGGACGGAACAGGTTACTTGGATCTATGCTCTCTCTAGTCTGTATATTCTAGTTCACAGGTCTGGGGTAAACCCGGCTTCAGTTCGAATTGCGATTCTAAAGTTACAACCAAATACAAGTTACCAAATGACCAAAATCAATGATTTGAAAAGGTCGCTGAATTATTTAACGCCGGTTCATATCTTGAATCACCGACTCAAATCCTCATAAATATTCAAATTGGCGATTCAAATTTATTTGAACCAGAAGTAAGGTAGTTCAGAAAACTAGTTCAAATTCATTAGATTCGGTCCCAATATAAAGTTATATAAACCTACACTACAGGGTTACCAAGAATGAGACGAATTTGCTGAAATAAAGATATCCTTAATTTTCTTTCTTAGATCGTTTAAAATCATGGTTTTAATTAGTGTCGGGGTTGAAAGGGAAGTAGGGGGGGGGGTTTCACAGTCTAAGTTCTTTTAAATTTAAATTTACTAGTGCCGTTAACCATTATTCTAAAAGTTAAAGTGTTCATAGTTTAAGAATTGTGGTTATTGGAAAACCTTACACACTCTTCATAAATTCTGATTTCATATTCTTTGCCTGAAGTGAAATCATTATAAATCAAATAATGTGCATAATATTTATTTTTAAGAAAAAAATGAGATTTTTCAAAGATTTATTACACAAGATGGGAAGTTAAAAATATATAAAATTAAAACTTCGAATTTAAGAAAATACCATAAGAGCAATGTTTGACTGGGTACAAGAAACCAAAATTTTAATAAAAATTGTTTTTTTAATTGACAATTTTGTTGAAATCTAAAATAGCATAAGGATTAGAAAGAACTATCTATGTTTTTAAATAAGGATTAAGTCATAAGAAAAATCTTATTCACCCCGGTCCTTTCCTGCCTTAGAAAGAACTGTCAGCGTAAGAATTAAACTCTGTCAATTTCCCACATTGTCTGTGCTGCATAAATCCTAAAGTCTTTTTGAAGAAAACACACAATTGAAAATTAATAATTTTCAGATAGAAAAAAAAGGCAATATTCATGAGTTTAGGTCAGACTTATGGTTAAATGATACCGTTGTGAATCCAGTTGCGACTCTTTTTAAAATTGAGATTACTTCAATTCTCTGATATAGTTGATTGTGGATGTTTTGTATGTAACCCTTTAAGCTGATGTTTTAAAAGTGAAAAGTATATTAACATTATATATCAGAATCCATCTTTGGATTAATTTCTTCCTTGCGAGAGTTTCTTTAGCTCCAGGACTATAAAGAATATGAATATTTTCCCTCCAGGATGAATTCCAGAATAAAATATATAATCTTAACTTTAGGTCTAGTAATTCTGCTTATTCTACTTCAAAGCCAATTCAAGGCAAGTTTTATTTAACTTAACTACGGGATAAAATCATAAAACTATATTTGTTTACAATAAAACGAGCCTGAATACTCAGACCGAACTTTTATTTTTAAGTTTTTAACCTGATAAAAATGCTAACCGATCAAATAGTAAAAGTGTGGAAAGGTTTACGACATCGGGTTTCAAAGATATAAAGGCAAGGGTAATTATAGGAATACAAACTCTTTTAACTTTTATTTTTCAACTTTAAGAATTTTTATGAGCTTACGTATAGACAGATAGGCTGTTCAGCTTCTTCCATTGTTGACTCTTTTATATCTTTGTAACCCAAAGTCGTAGAACTTTTAAATGTCAAACTATGAATTAGGTTACACCAAATTAATTCACGGTAGCTAGCACCATGATCGAGCAGAACAATTGTGTGACCAATCAGGATATGGATTTTTTTATTAAAAATGATTTTCTAAAACTTATATCTCGAAACAATAATAATGTATACAATTGTGTTTGTAGGTACAGATCAACCCGTCAATTTCTTCCTATGAGATTATTACAGAGGAGCAATCTGCAGAGAACTTAATAGAACAAGATGAAAACTTGGAAACATAGTTGAGAACTTAATAGAACAAGATGAAAACTTGGAACATAATTAAGAACATTATAGTTATTGATGTGAACTTGGAAACATAATTGAAAACTTAATAGAACAAGATGAAAACTTGGAACATAGTTGAGAACTTCATAGTTATTGATATGAACAATTAGAGACATGATAGAATAGAGGACGTGATAGTTAGTAAATACCAGCATGGGAACATACTGGAGGACGGAATAATTAGTGATTTAAAGCTGGTGACAAAATAAAGAACGTGATAGTGATTTAAACATAAGTGAGAACTTGATACTTAATAATTTGAACTTGGAGGCTTAAACAAGAAAGTGAGAAATGGTGAAATAAACTGGAATAAAATTTAGATAATGATAAAGAGAGGTATAAACTCAGAGACATATATATACCGAGGACGTATTAATAGCTATGTGATATTAGCTTTGATTATACATAATAAAGGAAGCGATAATCAGTGATGATATGAACTGCAAACCAAAGCTTAAATGACAAATCACACCAAGACCTCATCAGTACATGAATATGCTTTCTCACATTCACTCTGGGCCCTTATTTCTTCGTATTTAGAGTTGTAAAATTATATATTAAGATGTATACTAAAATCAAATACCTGGTTTTAACTCTTGTTCTAGCAGCCTGCATTCTTCTAGTCCGAAGACAACCTGAATTGAGTATCATTAATTCTCAATATGAGGTAAAACAAATTGTAAACTGTTCTTTTATCGATCATATCACGGTTAGGGGAAAGGGGTCCACCCCCACCCCCATGCTTTTTGGTTTAAACATATGGCTATAAGGGAGGTTGGAGTCGGTGTTTTAAAAAAAATCAGAAACAGTAAATAATTATTTTATTAATTAATCTACAGATCTAAAATTAATTATTTGAAAAGCGCTTGTGTGTCACATACATATCACATATTAATATTTGTCAAAAGTAAAAATGAGTATTTTTTTATAGCCTACCTTGCACCATAACCATTAAGAATAGAGGTCTAATTTTTTATAGCCTACCTTGCACCTTAACCATTAAGAATAGAGGTCTAATTTTTTATAGCCTACCTTGCACCATAACCATTAAGAATAGAGGTCTAATTTTTTATAGCCTACCTTGCACCATAACCATTAAGAATAGAGGTCTAATTTTTTATAGCCTACCTTGCACCATAACCATTAAGAATAGAGGTCTAATTTTGAAAATATCGTCTAGGGAAATGTATCACACACCCCTTTCTCAACTTAAAGGGCAATATCAAAGGGAGGGGTGGAACATCACCCCCCCCCCACATCTATATCAGACAAAAATATCCAAATCGGGAGAGGGTTAATCTTTTAATCATGGGGAATCTAAAACGAATGAATTAATTACAAATAAATATTGTAACCCTAATCTAGGCGAGAAAGTTTTAAGAAGAATATTTTCTCCCAATTTTTTTTTAAATATAAAATTAGCACAAAAATAGTCTTTTCTTCAAAACAGATTGCAGAGTTTGAATTCAAGTAGCTCAATCCATATACATTCAACAACTCCGTGTTTATTGAGTCTAAAAATCGTCTTCATATTCCACAGTATTAAGGTTCTGTATATTTATAGATGGCTAAGAAATCAGTTACACCTTCACCCTCTCATCTTAAACCACAGAAACCCCTAATAAACACCTCGGCAAAAGAAACTCTGGAAAAGTTGTCTGGACCAGGGAAGAAAGCCGGAAAAAAGGATTTGCCAAAACGAATTCTATTCTGGAACGATTTCTATGGAAGCCGGAACTACGGGTTCTGCTGTGGAAGGAATCCGTTCCGTAAAGCTAAATGTCCGGTCTGGAACTGTCAGGTAAACAGATTTGTTCAAAATATCATTTTTTTGGTTGATTCGATTATTTTTTGCCAAATTTATTTTCTTATATTATTGTATACATAGCTCGAGAACCAAGCATTGTTTAAACCCAGCTAAGAACATTATATCGTGGTTCTACCTAGTTCTCCAATAGGCAAAGGATTTTTGTAAGTTATTCTTGGAAATCCAAACAGACAAACATAAACTACTACTTTATATAGATATATTTAGATGATCAAATACATTTCCTCAGTCTGTTTGTTCTAAATACACATGAAGGTTCAACAATTGTCCAGTCAATTTTTGTTTCATGATTTGAGATATTTATCAATAAACACAAGAAAATCGGTCAAATGCACAAAAATGTTTGAATAAAGGTGTCTGTAATAGTAATTCCATGTAGATCAAAATTAAGATCTAAATTCCTTATCAAATTACTCTCCTGTCCGTACAAAGAGAATAGAATATATAGAGAGGAATTTACTAGAAAAAAGTGTAAAACGGCCATTTTGTTGTACTGTTTCCATACTGCAGGTGTACTTCAGATATTTATGCTATACAACCTGTTGAGCCCTGGATTATCATTTAATAGAAAATCTAAAATTATTGTTAAAAGAAACCCAAATTATGAAATAGGCTGGTTTCATAATTGACCAAAAATCATTTCACATAGACTCTATGCCTTCCACTTTACAAACGATGATTTTCCGTTATAATTATAAATCAAATGATGTTTTTATTCACCTAATTCATTAAAAAGTTTATTTAACAGTTTAAAAAATTCGAAATTGAAATTAATAGTCTAGGGAGCATACTGTATTAATGTACTCTACTGCATATAATTTGTGAACATTTACATGATTTGTACACTTTGAACTCCCTTTCAGGCTGAAAGGGACTGAAAAAATTCATACCGAGAGATTCTTTTAATTCCTCTCTATATATTCTATTCTCTGTGTCCGTATTTAAAAGTATAATATGGAAGCAAATTTTGGAATAATTTAGAAGATAAAAATATTTTCAAAGATTCATGTTATTCAGTAAATTATGATAATGAGTTTTGTTCTAAATTGTTGAATTTTTTAATTATGGAATGTTTCTAAAATTGGTTTATGTTCCAAAACGCGTCCAAGATTGCATGGTATTCGTGATATGTGCAAAAAAGGAAAACCTTGAATTGTTTCTAAAATTATACGTTTTTTTATTGAAAATGGACACTCACGCACAGTTTTAATTTTAGAAAAGAAGTAAATAGCGAATTATTTGGATAAGTATAAGTTCTCTTAAAATTCAGTGATGGTGATGGACCAAACCTCTATAGAGTAAAAAGTAGATGTTCCACATTTATTGAAAATATATTTCGGTCTCGTCAGTTCTAGCGATAATAACCATCAAAATCGATAAAAAATTTAAATAGTTAAAAACCACAAGAAAATAAACAAACAAAAAGTTTTAAAAACAAAAATTTGGCTGTAAAATGGACATAAGGGAAACGAACTCAGATGAGATGGAAAAAAGATAATTTGCGAATATTCACTTTAAAAATTTTTTAAATGTTTAGATGTATGTGTATAGAGTGGTGGTGGGGGTCGATCTAATTAACGAACTTTCACGTAAATCAGGGGGAGGGGGGCGGCTTGTTTAAGGAGGGGTATTTAAACCTTTTAAAGAATTGGATATAAACAATACTCTTTTTTAAAAAGTTCTCGTCGTACTAAATAATATGTTGGAAATAGCTTCTTTAATCAATATACACTCTCGACACAGGAACGAGTTACAGTGATAACCAGAAAACAATGGAAACATTATGGCAATACTTAAATGTAATTGATGTTGTTTAAAAGAAAATTATTTTACTCGACACTTATTACATCACTAATTTAGGGAAATGGGTCTGTTTACGCTGCATCTTTGCTGTCTCTCATGCTCATTGACCTTTTTAAAGTTATAACTTATTTCAAAAAGTCGTCTTCCTATTTCAGAGTTTTCTGGTTATCACTGTACTAAAACGTTGATCATAATATTTGTGCCCATGCAAACCCGGCACTCAATTTCAGGTTTGGAACATAAGCCCGGTTTGGAACTTTCTTCCCCTGCAAAGGGATTAGACAATCAGAGTTTGTGACAAAGATTCAATTCCTGTCTAGAAAATTTCGGAAAGTTTATAGATGAATCATTTTACGCATTAATGTGCGAAAAAAAGTTCCTTAGTCTACAGTGATTTAGTAATAGGACTTTCCATAAATAATACTTAAACGTAAATATTCAAAATTTAAAGTTTTTTTCCTTCAGCATGCGAATATATTGTCCGAAATGGAAAACAAGCAAAGGATTTTTCAAGCATAAAATTGTAAATTTTCTCAAACATGAAGATTTGCAAGCTTGAAGATGAGGGGATTGGACAACAAAATAAAGATTGAAAAAATATTATTTAGACAACAAAATTTCGAAATGAAAGCTTGGAGACAATAGATGCAATTGTGTTCCATCAAAGAAAGTTAAAAACTGACGACTTGCCAGCAAAAAGGTAGGCAGCTCAGCTCAGCTCATGATTTTTGAACCAAACCAAATCAAATTTTATTATTCTCCTAAATGCAAATGGACTTGTCATGTCTTGGCAAATAAAACAAAGTTGTGCACGTTTAAATTCTATTACGAGAGTAGAGGGGGGATTGAAGGTTTCAAAAAATTCTAATATTGTTAATTTTGTCAGGTTCCCCAGCCAACAGTACGTTTTCTTATCCCTTGAATCTCCGAGTTATAAAGAGAAAATTGTTTACAAACAATGGAACCAGTTCTTTAATCTAACCATGACGTACAGGTGGGTTTCTTACAATAATAATTAATTAATTAATAAATGCGCAAATTATCTTATATCTTTTCATTTAATATCATGAATATTCGTAATTTAACTTTAAAATTGTTAAACTAAACTTTAAATTTATCTTTAAATCTTTACCCTTTTTGATCAAATCTTGTCGCAAACGTAACTTTGCTTTTTAATCTTTTTCTAAATTTTCAATCTCTAATTATACTTATTTGATAAATTAAAAATCTGTGTGGTAAATAAAATTTCCTTAAAATTTTAATTTTTCTTATCTGCTCATTCTCTTTTTCAAATCCCATTATTTTGATAATCGTGAAAAGTATGGAATGGACAAGTTTGTTCATAATAGTTCATACTATATTGAAGTGCCAGGCGGTTTTGAAGAAAAAAAATAGTTTACTATTATAATGCGATATTTAAACAAATCATTATTTAGACCTAAACATTACTATATTTTTTTTCATATTTTATCTCCTAAATCTATATAATGAAGACCAATTTATTTTTTTTAAACAATATAAAAAATTGCTATTTTTCCAAAAGGTTATTTTAGATTTATCATTTAATTGCAACATTCATAAGGTTTAAATATCAGAGTTGCTGCTGAAAAAAAATCCTGGAAAATAAAGAAAAAATTTCAAATATGAGAGTGAAATCTTAAGTTTTAAGCTACAATGCAAGGATTTAATGCAAGAAAAGTTATTTCAGAGGTGTCCGCATCTTTTGTACTGCAGTATACTGTCACTGGGCGGTAATGTAAACACAAGACGGATGTCGAAGCCTGACATGGGATCCATCTTTCACATAAATAATCAATGAAATATTCTGGTCATAGCAAACTAGTATGTCAATTATCAAAATTATCAAAATTCAATGCTTTTAACCTCCTTGGATACTAAACGAACACTGAGGCATCTATTCTTGTTTACAAATTCCGCCCAGAGAGAACTGGTTTCAATATGTACGCAGAGTTTACGGAACTGCAATTAACTTTCCTTGCATTACATTCTTGAGAATGAGGAACTCCTTAACTGCTCAACAGTTGAATCATTTTTCGAAGTGTCTTCTTTATACACAAGATTTTGCGCTTAGAATTAGGTTGTATCCTATATATCTGATATTGGAGCGTGCAAAGTGCAGTCAGCTAGATATCTATTTATCTAGAACTATGCCCCTTAAACCTCTTACAAGAATAGAGAAGAGAAATCTGAACTAAATGAAGTGCAATATCCCATATTTTATCCAAGCTGTTTAGTATGTCCTAGGGGGGGGGGAATGAGGGAGGGGGTGCAGAGCCACCATGAGCCATGCAAAATGACCTCCGGGGGCCTCCTGATACGCAGAATTTTCTCCATACCGCACGAAACCATCTCCGTACGCATATCTCTGGCTATGTCTCCTTACTTCTGCCATTTCGTTTCCCACGCCCCGCACTTTAATTATATTTTTTTAAACAAATTTTGTATGTATTATGTATTATAAAAAACTATTAAAATATTGATATTGTATAAAAACAGGTTTTTGGTTGATGTAAAAACCAAATATTTTAAAATGGAGACCAAATTGCGGGGCTTGGATGTCATTCTGCGTATCAGAAGGCTCCAAAGGCCATTTCGCGGGGTTCTTGGCGGCCCTGCACCACCTTCTTTGAGGAACTGGGTTGGATATATATTTCTATCTATCTATCTATCTATCTAGTATCCACTGCTGGAAGAGAAACATCAAATTCTTCAAATATCTCAACATAAAATATTCTTCTTCTCATTTTCCATATTACATTCTACCCACACAAAACATACATATATTGCAAGAAGTGAGGTTTAACCACAAGAGGGGTTTAGCCATGAATTTACAAAGATTAAGATAGAACCTACATGATATGCATGGTTGCAAAGGAATTGAGTCTTTGCCACAAACTCTGATTTTCTAATCACTATATCTTTGGAACCAAATGTTGCATACCTTAGATATTTCGAACTATGAATTCTGTTAGATCAAATAATCTGAGTTTGAAATATCAAAGGTTTACAACATCGAGTTCTAAAGATATTGTGGTTTAAATATTTGATTTTGTTCCAAAGACTCAATTCCTTTGCAAAAAAATTATATCAAATGAACTGAGTTTTTTCACAAACTCTAATTTTCTAGCTCCTTTAACTTTGCAACCTTTGATGTTTCAAACTATACTACTTCTAAAGGTCTTAAGTTTTAATCATCAAAGGTTAACAACATCGGGTTGCAAAGCTATAAGGATTTTAAAATTTGAGTTTGTGGCAAAAGCTCAATTCCCTTTCACTTAGTCTCTGTTTTTTTGTTTATGCTTTTAATTAAACAAAAATGAACTGATTTGATAGGATCACAAAAATTTAAACTTACAGAGTGAAATTTAGCTTTGATAGAATCTTGAAAAAATTCAAAATATCTATGGGGTGCACCATGAGGTTGCAAAGAAATAGAGATTATGAAGATTTAATTAGTGGCAAGTAATCATCTCCCTTGTAGAACAGAAGAGAAAGGTTTTAACAGAGCAAAGCGCACATAGATCCAGACTACTATAAAAAGTTGCATCATGTTTAAGTTTAGGCTGCGTGGGTCAACTCTAAAGTGTCGCAACACCTTGGCTTTTATTTCACGTCATCAACCACACTTAATTTTTTTTTGTGGCCAGACAATATGTACATTAGAACTATAAAGATCTTGCATCATTTTCAGATTAAAAAACATATCGAAAAAATGTTTTTGTTTGAGCTTGCAATCTTTGATTCACTGTGAACCAACTTTTCAGATTAATTAATTATCTTTCATTTAGATTTATAAATGAGCGTTGATAAAAACGTGAACAAAATAAAAGAATGTTTTTGGGAATTCCTAAAATTCAAGTTATGAATGAAAATAATACTTGCTGTTACATTTACAGGCTTGATTCTGATGTACCCATGCCATATGGAACTGTAGTGAAGACGACATCGAGAAACAAAACAGCTTTTGGATTGGAAATCCTCGAAGAGAAAACCGGTTTGGCGGCCTGGTTCGTCTCACACTGTAATACAGTTTCCCAGCGAGAACTAGTTGTAAAGAAACTTATGAAGCATCTACCTGACAACAGTGTACATGTAAGATACTGGCTATTTAAAAAATATTATAATAATATTCAAAATGTCTGCAAAATTGAAAATAATCTTTTTGTAATACCTTTCAGAAAAAACAGCTGTTGGTGTATTATAATTTACAAATATTAAAAACTTAAATTTTGCAGCTGCCCATTTCGCCTAGTCATATAAATGTTAAAATGAGCCTAAGAGGTGTTTATGATATTTTTGTATCTAAAAAGTCGTATGAAAATACGGTTTATCTGCATTCGCAATGAAGAGAGATATCAAAGCGGTTTAAAAAAACTGTAGAAAAGAAATAGTACAGGTGGGTTTAAATTTTCGTGACCTGACCCTTTAAAAATGTAATATTTATATTTATGGTTCATGTGGTACATTGAAATGTAATATTTAGATTTATGGTTCATGTGGTACATTGAAATGTAATATTTAGATTTATGGTTCATGTGGTACATTGAAATGTAATATTTAGATTTATGGTTCATGTGGTACATTGAAATGTAATGATAAAGAGGAATGCTGGAAAATGGTTTCCAAGTCCTACAAATTCTACTTTTCTCTAGAAAACTCAATATGTAAGGTTGGTAATTTAAATACTATTGTTTTCTCTATTGTGACGTTTCTAGTTATTTCAATTACACTTGCTGTGTCATATAATGTTTGACCTGTAGAATAATGTTCATATCAAAGTTTTTTATAGTTTCTCTGCGTCCTAACATTGTTACACTATCTGAGAATGAACAAAACAAATTTTAGACACCATTGACTTGATTTTTAAGCGCTAATTTTGAAATTCTTTTTTGTGTTGATTATCAAAATTTGAGTTAGAAAATACTAAGGTTTATAAAAACCGATCCCTACGAATTTTGCTCAGAAATTTGTTTAAAAGTAGCTGGTAGAATTTCTGCGTCGCAATTACCAAAACACAAAGGCCAAATTTAAAATTATTCAGCTTGAAAAAACTAAAGACAAGAATAAATAAAAATCCTGACCAAACCCATCAATAGGACCTCACAAGTAAGTTGCGTAAATCTTTTTAAGTTGCCTAAAGCGAAACTTTTAACCTACGGATCGTGAATTTCAGAGCAAAAATGCTGACTAAAAATTAAATAACAAATAAAATATTTTTTCCGAAAAATGGTAGAATGAAGTAATTTTTCAATTTAGGATTATGTGACAGAGAAACTTTTTGAAGCTATGAAGTATAACGTAATCCCTGTGGTTTTAGGTGAAAATTAACATAGAAAACCCTAAACAAATAATCATATTGATACTTTTGAGATAAAAAAGAACAATTCAAAATTTTAAATGTCATTAAAGATTTAACTTGTATCTGATTTATTTCTAAAACTATGGCAAGAGGTCAAAACTTTTGTTTTGTAAGTCCCGAATGAGACCTACAGACAACTAGTTTTGTAAGTTCCGAATGAGACCTACGGACAACTAGTTTTGTAAGTTCCGAATGAGACCAACGGACTAGTTTTGTAAGTCTCGAATGAAACCTAAGGACAACTAGTTTTGTAAGTTCCGAATGAGACCTACGGAAAACTAGTTTTGTAAGTTCCGAAAGAGACCTACGGACAAATAGTTTTGTAAGTCCAAAATGAGACCTACAGACAACCAGTTGTGTAAGTTCCGAATGAGACCTCCGGACAACTAGTTTTGTTAGTTCCGAATGAGACCTACGGACATCTAGGTTTGTAAATTCCGAATGAGACCTACAGACAACTAGTTTTGTAAGTTCTGAATGAGACCTCAGCTGACAACTAGTGTTGTAAGTTTCGAAGGATACCTATGACCAACTAGTTTTTAAAGTCCCAAATGAGACCTACGGACAACTAGTTTTGTAATTCCCGAATGAGATCTACGGAGAACTAGATTTATAAGTCCAGAATGAGACCTACGGACAACTAGTTTTGTAAGTTCTGAATGAGACCTACGGACAACTAGTTTTGTAAGTCCTGAATGAGACCTACGGACAACTAGTTTTGTAAGTCCCAAATGGGATCTACGGAGAACAAGTTTTGTAAGTCCAGAATGAGACCTATACGGCCAACTAGTTTTTAAAGTCCTGAATGAGACCTACGGACAACTAGTTTTGTAAGTCCTGAATCAGACCTACAGCTGATATCATAATTGAACATATACAAGTGGATATTCAAGGGATGTAAATAGCTCTAATTTAACGATAGGTTTGACCCTGGAAATTTAAAATATTAAATTGGGTATTAAGATCAAGGGTTGAAGAAGAGCTCTATTTTACACAAAAATTTTTGAAAATAAAAAAAATGATAAAGAGATAAAAATTAATATTACATTCTGTTTTGAAGAGCATCGTTGTGAATAATGAGTTCTTGAAATTAAGTATACAGTCACTTTAAAAATTCTATCTAAAGACTACATATTTTGTGATATTAAAAAACATTAAAAAGGCATTTTTTATGTGGTTTTATGTAAATAACAACAAGAAAAATACCACATAAAAATAAATTAATATATTTGTGGAAATTTACATTTATTTAATGGCTATAATGGAAAACTCTTCAATTTATCAAAATGATTGAAAATGAATATTTTATTAGTAGATTTGGTTTAACAGTACGAAGACATTATTGGGACACTGGCGTTGATTTTTAAATTATATAATTTTTTATTTTTATATTTATTTGTATCCAAAAAACACCAAAACGTCTGAACCGATTTGGTCCAAATTGAAAAGTTGTACTCCCAAAAATCTTGAAATTTCTTAACAATTGAATACTTGCCGATAAGATTCGAAAAAATCTGCAAAATCTTTATAAAATTTTTGTTTTTCAATGTCTGATGAAATATGATTAAGGAATTAGATAAGTGCACACACTAAGATCTGTCGTTGGTATTTTCATATTTCTAATTTCATCATCGGAATGTTTTGAAGTTTTACAAAACCCTCTGAAAATAGAAAAATGGTAAATTGCTTTCGAATTAAAAATGAACCACCCCCCCCCTCTCTCTCTGCATTAGCACAATCAGAAAAAGATTAATTGCTCACATAAATATCCAAAAATAACTAAAACCTGAAATCAAACAAGCCGAATACTTTATTAATGAGAAACCCTAATTTAATATTCTCCTGGTGAAACGTCAGCAGAGGAGAAAACAATTAATTTGAAAAGGACCAAATATATAATTTTCTAATGATATTGATCAATAAAATTATCTATTTGTGACAAACTTTAATATTAAAAATAGAAAAACATATAAAAGAAGTACAAAGGTCTTTGATTCTATTGTTTAATTTCTAAATCTTTCTTAACGGGGTAAAAAATTTTGGTTTATAAGGAAAACTTCAAACAAACAGTTTACTTTTACTCCGACAAATATCTTTCCAAATACCGGTAAATTTTCAAGGGATTTTTACGATTTTAACGTTTCTGAACTCAGTGTTCTTAATTTAAGTTACAATGACTTGATTTACATAAAGAAAGGAAAAATCTGAATCAGTTTGAAAATTATAAAAAAAATTCTCAAATCTGTTTTTAAAATGTTTCACAGAAAACTTAGGAACTGGTGCAAGTTGGATTTGATCATTCTAATTTTTAAAAAAATGGCTAAATATAGTTATACCCTTAGGTAAGGGGAGATCAAGAGAAAATGGATGGAGAGGAGTTAAGATATGTCTGAATATATTTGTATGCAGTTCTGATACTTTCCTAGGTGGTGCAGATTATGCTGATATGTTACCTCCCAAATCCTTTATTAACGTTGAGGACTTCAAGTCTATTAAAGAACTGGGTAAGAAAGCTTTTTATTGATAATCATTACAGATAAAAAAAAAGTCATAACTGTTCTAAAGTATTTTTGGATGAGGGTTTTCAGCAAGAAAAAAAGGAATTGAGTCTTTGCAAAAGATTCAAAGTTTTCAATCTTATAATCTTTGCAATCTACTTGTGTAAATCTTTGGTATTTCAAACTTAAAATATTTAAATATCTAAAATCTCTCAGGAAACATTTAAACCGACTATATATATGCTCCTCCGATGGCGAAGATGTCCGGGTATATAAATCTGGACTTTTGATGGACATCCACATGTCAAAGACTAAATGTTTGCAGGGCTACGACATTGGGTTGCAAAGATATAGGGATTATAAAGTCTGAGTTAGTTGAAAATATTTTCATTTCTAGAAAAAATCAAATTTGGTTTGTATGTTTATTTAGGGGAATATTTAACGTTCCTGGACAGAACCCCGGACGAGTATCTCAAGTATTTTAAATGGAAGACGAGCCACGAAGTTTTGAATTCAAAAAAAGATATAAATGCGGCATTCTGTCGACTCTGCGCTAAACTCCACGAGGATCCTAAACATAAAAGTATAGGAGATCTTGAGGACTGGTGGGTTACTCAATCCAAATGTAGAAATTAAAATGTATATTGTCTATTTTGTTTTTTAAATAAAAAAAATATCCAGAATTCGACAATAAATGTTTAAAATATATCTCAGAAGAAAAGACCATATTGAAAAATTCTTGTTTATCGAATTTTTTAACGGCAAAAAATTTAGGAGAAGAGGTCAGTTTGTTTTCTGGGTTTTTCTGTTTATTTTAAGTACACAATTTGCATAGCATTTATCAATAACAATTGAATTATACCTAAATATCCCTCATAAACAAACTCTTCCTTTAAAGTCCTTTAAACTTCCCCCTCCTCTCGCCTCTAAATCCCCATTTGTCCATGTTTCCCTTCCTCTCTCCCCTCCTATATATTGTTCCGTCTAATCCCAAGAGGGGATGATAATCCGAAACTCTGGTTTGAAGTAGGGCAGGGCGTAATCACGTTTTTTGTAGTTAACAGTATTTTAGTTTGGGAAAGAAAAAGAAGAATACACCCCACAAAATATAACATTATATAGTCCTTATGTATCTCATTTCTGATTTTATTGACCTTTGATATTTTAAACTGAATTCAGCTGGAGGAAAGTAGTCTTTAGTTTATTTTCGAATATATTAGAACTGTTTTGAGATTGTTCAAAGATTTTTTGGTTGATGTTTTGGGTTCCTTTTGGGATGTTTTGAGAGTGGTTTGGGAATTTTGATATGTTTTGAGAGTGGTTTCGGAATTTAGGGATATTTTGAGAGTGGTTTGGGAATTTTGGGATGTTTTGAGAGTGGTTTTAGAATTTTGGGACTTTTTTAGAGTGGTTTGGGAATTTCGGAAAGTTTTGAGATCAGTATAGGAATGTTATGAGATTTTTATGTGAATGTCATTGGTTTTAGAATATTTCAAGATTGTTTCTGGAATATTTAAGAATTATTATCAGATTTTATGGTAAAATATTGAAAATATATGATATAGATTTTGGCTTGGATTAGGACTGGGAATGCATTGAGAACATTTTGGGATTTTCCAGATTGTTTTGCAAATGTTTGGAACGTTTTGATAACGCAATAATTCAAAACTGTGAACTAAATAAGAAACGTGCCCAGCCCTAGTTTAAACAGTCTTGTTCTGCTTAGCATAAATTAGGCTCAATCCAGCTATATACTATAAAATATATAGAAGTTATGCCATTGCTTTGATAAAAGAAATATATACTAATATACTTACTTTCCTAGTCTTAATATAACTTATTTGATTTGAATTATTGGTTGTCTCTATAAAACGTTATTAAATTGTAGCAAAAAATTTGCGACGTCTTTTATAATAAACTCAACCAGTAACATCAATCAAACGCCACTATTAAAAATTAAATATCATAATTAATCATTAAATACCTAAAATGGTAATCTATGAGTCGATATACACACAAATGTTTGGCTAAAATGTTTGGAATATTTCATAAGTGTATAAGTGTGTGTATGTACACATTGCATGTAGTCTAATTTGATCTAATTTGACATGAAGTGGGGGGGGGGGGGCATTGAACATTGAACATTCAATAAAACATTGATTATGTACAGAAGACAATGATTGTAAGGTAGAGAACCATGGTAAACTACTGAATAAATAATGAAAATAGTTTCACCTTGTTTACTGGTCAGTTCCCAATCCAACCCTCAGACAAACAACAAGAAAATTTTTTTTCTAGTTGATTTTTAACATTCAACCCTGAACGGGTTGGAAGAAAAACGAAATATATTTTAAGGCCTAAATAAAACACATACAACAAACTCTAACATTGTGCATTGTGCAAAAAGTATGTTTTTGATTTGTCCCGTCAGCCAGGACATTTACTTGTTTATATGTGGAAAGATATTTTTTCTTTGAGGGACAAAATGAAAATTATACGTTCAAAAGACTTACCTTTAAAGTTGATCCTGTCATCAGATATCTTTTGTAATTATTCTGTCCTCAAATCTAGTCTTTCTCGCAGGAACTGAGTTTTTGCCACAAACTCAAATTTTATCATCCCTATGTCCTGAGTCCAAAATGAATTTGAGCCGCGTCTAAAATCCGCCAAAAACCGGCTTCAATTGAGCGCTGGCTTAAATCTTGAAACAGTGAATATGATTTTAAGTAGAACCAACCATATTTGAGCCACGGCTTAAATTTAAGTCGCGGCTCAAATTCTTTAAATTCGGCCTCTGATGGTGTCAATCTTGAACTTAGAATATTTGATCATGCAGAATACATTGCTTGAAATATTAAAGCTGCACGGCATTGGGTTGCAAGATTAGGGATAAAAAATATTAGAGTTTGTGGTAAGAACTCAGTTCATTTGTTTGTAATTACCAATGTAAATTTTACATTGGACCAAACCAACGTTTTCCGGTCCTAACTTCCTATATTTACCATTTAGAGTTATTTGAATTGTAATGTTTAATTCAGAGATGGCATTGGCTTTTCAACATGCCTTGTATCGACTCATGTATTTAGAAATTACGAAGATATTAAAAATTCAGAAAATCTGGATGAAACAGGGTTGCCCACAAACTGACGAGAATTTAATGGAGACCTTAAACTTTTAATATAAAACGGGCTAAAGGTTTTAATTTGTCTGTTGCCTTATTTATTGGCTTAAAATGACATAAAAAATGAGTTCACTACGAAAGGAACACACCAAGAATTTAAAACATATAAGACTTTAAGATTTCCATAAGGTAGTCTCTGAAGTCTTATCCTTTGTAGGAAAACCTGTATTTGGAAATAAAAAACATTTCTCATTACGATTTAGGTGTTAAAGAGGCAGCCCACATTTTAAAAATCTCATTGAGGTTTGATGCACTGGGTGACTTAATTTTAATTTTTAAACCACATTCTAAAATGTTATACTTCAATAGGAATATACAAATTTTAAAATAAATACAAATATCAACTTTTTAAAATGTATTCAGTTGAATCAATAATTAAGTTGATTTGAATAGTTTAAGAGAATATCAATATTGACTAATGTTGGGTTTAAGGATTTGAATATTTTAAGAGAATATCAATATTGAATAATGTTGAGTTTAAGGATATGAATATTTTAAGAGAATATCAATAGTGAATAATGTTGGGTTTAAGGATTTGAATAGTTTAAGAGAATATCAATATTGAATAATGTTGGGTTTAAGGATTTAAATAGTTTAAGAGAATATCAATATTGAATAATGTTGGGTTTCAGGATTTAAATAGTTTAAGAGAATATCAATATTGAATAATGTTGGGTTTAAGACTGGTTTCAGTTCTCTGCCTCCTGCTAGCAGTAGATCTCAGTATGCAGCAAGCAAGCACTAATGCGCCACCTGCATCAGGCCTTAAGTAATTAAAATATTTATTTTTAAATTAAAAGCACTGATTTTAATAACTGGACCCATATTACATTGTTGCATGTTCATTGGACAATTTCTTTTTAAATCAAAACTTGAGACAAACAGTTCAGTCGTCTTCCTATTCCACCAAATAATGGGTCTTACTGTGTTTATTTATGTTGAAGACTTGAAAATTTATTTAATGGAGTGATATCAAGACCTTTTTCTTTTGCCATCACATTATAAAGGGAATTTTCTCTGCGCTGTTTTTTATATGAAAATAGGGGTTATTACATGTGTTACATGTTTATATATAGATTATATTTTATAATATTTATCTTTTTTAGAAAACGTTTTAACGGATTTCGAAAAATGTGAGTGGTGCGCGGCATTCTTAGATAGTTGCGCAAGCGACAAGAGAAATAATCAAATTCTAAACAAATTAATTAAAAAATATTATAAAACATAAACTATATACAAATGTGGCGAAAGATAATCGATGACTATAGGTTGTAATATCTGAATGATTTGTTTGAAATTAAATTGATTTTTTACGGTCTAAGTCATATGTTGCAATTTTCTGAATTTGTATGGGCACTAAGTTATTCGGTATGAGACGTCTTTAACAATTTTCTCCTTATAAACGCAACAGATAGAAGTAGAATTAGTAGCGATCAAAAGCGCTTTTTTATCGCATTAAGCCTATACCCCCTTTCATTTTTCGCGAACACTCCCTTTAAAGGGATATCTAAATAACTTCAAAACCTAATTATTTTACTTAAGGTGTTTCCAATGCGGAGGCAAGGATAACAAGTGTGACTCTATGGAAAGTTTAGGAGCTGAGGTGACTTGTAAAGCTGGATCATATACCTGCCTTGTCGCCAAAAGTAAGTCAATCTAAAAAAATTTATATAGGTTAATGTTCTAGAATGTATAGGTATAAGCACCTATAACGTTAACGTTGAACGTTCACGTTTTAAAGAATATACCCAAACGTTACCTATTACTGTAACGTAACATACAAAAATGACATTTTACGTTACATTACATGATCGTTAACATCTCTAGATACCCATTTCTAAAGCTGAGTGAAGGGAAACTCCCGGTAACAGTGTTTGTATACTCCTTGCTAGTGTATTATGCGGTTTATGGAAACTTAGTTTCCCGCTGTAAAAAAAAGAATATCTACGAAATGCTTGATCAGACAAAAGTTTCAAGGGTACCGATTTAAATCAGACATGCCATATATTTAAAAATATAAATATAAATGTAAATAAAAAGTTACTTTAAATAACGTTTACAGTCCCTTTAGTGGTTTTGTATTTATAAATCTATGTCAGTCAAAAGTAAGAGGTTTCTTGATATATGGATTATGGATGGCTCTACTTTAACTTTTAAACTGGACTTTCAACAAAAATGGACTCATTGAATATATCATATTAAGGTTCTGATGCTGTTTATAGACGGTGTGGTAACCCTGCTGAAGTAAACCCTGAATGCTAAGTTTATCATATTAAGGTTCTGATGCTGTATATAGACGGTGTGGTAACCCTGTTGAAGTGAACCTTAAGTGCTTAATGTATTATAATAAGGATCTGATTCTGTATATAGACGGTGTGCTAACCCTGCTGAAGTAAACCCTGAGTGCTAAGTGTATCATATTAAGAATCTGATGCTGTTTATAGACGATGTTGAAACCCTGCTGAAGTAAACCCTAAGTGCTAAGTGTATCATATTAAGGTTCTGATGCTGTATATAGACAGTGTGGTAATCCAACTGAAGTAAACCCTGAGTGCTAAGTGTATCATAATAAGGTTTTGATGCTGTATATAGACGGTGTGGTAACCCTGCTGAATTGAACCCTGAATGCTAAGTATATCATATTAAGGTTCTGATGCTGTATATAGACGGTGTGGTAACCCTGTTGAAGTGAACCTTAAGTGCTTAATGTATTATAATAAGGTTCTGATGCTGTATATAGACGGTGTGCTAACCCTGCTGAAGTAAACCCTGAGTGCTAAGTGTATCATATTAAGGTTCTGATGCTGTTTATAGACAGTGTGGTAATCCAACTGAAGTAAACCCTGAATGCTAAGTTTATCATATTAAGGATCTGATGCTGTATATAGACGGTGTGGTAAGCCTGCTGAAATAACCCTTGAGTGCTAAGTATATCATATTAAGGTTCCGATGCTGTATATAGACGGTGTGGTAACCCTGCTGAAGTAAACCCTGAGTGCACTAAGATTGCAGTTGGAACCCTGTCTGTAGCTGATGCTGAGGCCTGCTGGTGTGAGGTATTATTACAGGATTATGGATGCTGAAATAACTCCTGTTCACTTGATGTACCAGGCCGACTATGAGGCAACTTAAGCCAGTTTTACAGCAAAATCGAATTGTGCAGCACCAGACGAGTCTGCATCCCGTTATTTATAAATATCCATTTCTGCACTTTTAATTTCAAAATTAAATAAAATTGTCAAATTATTGAAAATCCAAAATTCAAAAAAAAATTGGGCAATTTTATCTTTAATTCTAGTTTTTTAAGTCCTTTTTAATTGCTTATTTGACAAAAATTATTAATAAATACTAAGAATGTAAATTATTGATTAAAACCCAGAAAATCTTGATAAAAATGTGGCAAAAATTGTTTTATATTTCAGCAAATTCTTCAATTTCAAAACTCGTGAAAACTCCATTTTTTCTTGCAAGTTTTTGCCGAGTTTAGGCTAGATAAAATCTGGAAATTTGAACCTACTTTGAAATATTTTGATTTTAGGAGGATCTGTGTAATGGAAGCATGAAGGTTACTGGAATATCTGCACTTCTCCTAGTTTTTATCATCAAACTAGTTTAATTATACTTTTCATCTCAAACTTCTCGTAAAACAATTGAGTCTTTTCCGCGAACACTTATTTTCTAATTCCCTTATCTTTGCAACCCAATATCGCAGACCTTAAGTGTGTCAAACTATGAAATATGTTTGATTAAATAAACTATGTTTGAAATTTCAAAGAAGTACACCATCAGGTTTAGAAGATACAGGGATAATAAATATTGAGTTTGTTGCAAAGACTCAATTTCTTTCTGCCGAATATTTTAACAAAAGTGGCTTTGCACATAAAAGTAATATTTAACCATAAAAAAATATGCACGATATTTAATTAAAGATATCACTGTTAATCTAAAGTACGTAAAAACAAAAAAGAATGTATAATCTTTGCCTGCACTGAGTTTTTAATACATTGAACTGAATAAATAGATATTACAAATACATTTTGAATTGGCAGAAACAAAAAAAGGATTTCGCAATATTTATAGTATTTGGTTCCCCCCAAAACAAAGTGTAAAGAAAATGTTCTATGATTAGAGTAAAAAAATTAAATTATGTTGGTGTAAAGTTTATCTCCGAATAGTTTTATGCAAAGAGTTTTGTTCAAACAATCAAATAAATAATGATTAAGAAACTGTTTTAATCAAAAATATTATATCATTTATTTTTCATGTTTAAAAATAGTTTGAGTTGCAATTAGGTTTTAGACTTCGAAAAGAAATGATGGATATTTGTGTAAAAAATTAGACTTCAAATAAAATATTTCAAAATCTATTTGTTTTCAAATTTTAATCTAAAGAGAGCTAAATGAATTTAATTCAAAAAGTATTAGGGAGCCTGAAGTCAGAACAATTTTGTGTTATACATCTCAGGATTAAACATTGATCCCCCTTAAGCAGTTAAGCTTAATTCCTATTCAATGCCCCGTGGTTAGTGATGTGCCAATTAGTTAGTTCGTTAATGGGTAGTTTTCTTCCACAAATATTCTTTTAGAGTCAAAATTGAAAAGAGAAAATGTTTTTCAAATCAAAAACCTAAACATTTGTTCTTCTCCCACTATGTCAATGTTTGACTGTGAGAGAAAATGTATGCAAAATACGACCCAAAAACTATTAAAAAACAATGCAAGAACGAACATGATTTAAAAATCGATTTTGGATCTTTTTTTCCATAAGGATATTGCAAAAAAAAATTTAACATATTACAGTTTGGACATTTGGGAAGTTTATTAAATTTTTTTTTTAACTGATCCAAACGATTAAAAACACTAGAAGGAGCGGTGACCAGTAACCATACCCTTCAGAGTAACAAATTTATTTAAAAGATCAAGTTTAGAAATTACATCGCGAAATCAAGAGTTCAAGATTATCGATACTCAGTAACTTCACACATAAGTTCTGACCTCTGAGATGGAATTTAAAGAACTAGCCTTATAGGGTGCTTCGCGCCCATCTTCTAAATTAATTGTGAACATGTTCTTTTTGTGTACATCGTAAAACAAAACAAAAATAATTTGCGGACTTTCGCAAAAAATTTCGTGGATTTTCAAAATTTTCAAAAATTTAATTGAGATCGAATTTTAATGGAGACAAATATTTGAAATTTTGATCATTCATAAACCATCCCTGGGGTCCCTAGATGTCCCACAAAAAATTTGGGCCCGATCGGTTCAGCCGTTTTGACGTTTATTGGATACAAACAAACAAACAGACACCCAGACAGACAAGCCAAATTTATATATAGATTTGAGCCGCGGTTTAAATCCGCCAAAACCTGGTTTTAATTTAGCGCCGGCTTAAATCTTGAAACATTTGATACAATTTTAAGTGGAACCAACCATATTTAACTTGTAGGGTTTCCAGTCGTAATTTCGTTACGCGTAATTACGCGTAACGAAACGTAACACTTTCTTTCACTTACGCAGGAGCATTACGCGTAATTACGCATTTATTACGTTTACGAAAGAAAGTCTAGTTTCGCGTAATTAATGCGTAATTACGCGAAATTACGTATTACGTAACAATTCCGTAATAAATAAAGTACATATTAATTCTCAGAAATAATTATAGCGGGACTTTGATTTTGCGAAATTACGTCGTAGAAATTACGCGAAATTACGCCGTAATTACGCGTAATTATAGTTTTTTTTTATTTCTCATAATCATTACGAAATTTCGCGAAATTACGTTGTAAAAATTACGCGAAATTACGCCGTAATTTCGCGAAATGGATATTTCCCCAATTACGCGTAATCCTGCGAAATTACACGAAATGAAAATTATTACGCGTAACTGCACGTAATTACGCGTAAGAGAATAATCTATTACGTTGGAAACCCTTTATTTAAGCCGCGTCTTAAATTTAAACCAACGCTCAAATTCTTTAAATTCGGCCACTGGTTACTTCATGTCATGTTATAAACTCCCTTCAGGGTGTAAAATATAACTTTTATTTTACAGTTGTCACATGTGCTCATGTCTGGCTACATTTGTACATTTTTTTGAAACGTTTCGTTAGGAAGTGACGACGATCGTTTTTCTAAAAAGTTCGTTTTTAAAAAAGGTCGTTTTAAAAACGATCGTTTTTATAAAACTCGTCGTTTCGTTAACGATCGTTAACGACGATTCTTCGTTAACGATCGTCAACGACAACCCTTCGTTAACGATGATCTTTTGTTAACGAACGTTAACGATGACCCTTTTTTACGATCGTTAACGACGACACTTCTTCAACAATCGTTAACGAAGAGAGGTAACCGACATGAAGGGCATCTTTACTTATTATTGAGTAGTTTTTTAAGAAAATATGAAGAAGTTTTAGCTCCCCCACAACTGTTTAATTTTGTATAAGACGACATTCAATGTTGCATGTAATTTTTTTTCAAATACGGTATTTTTTCCAAAAACGACCGTTTTTATTAAGTTTGTCGTTTTTAAAAACGAAACAAAAACGATCGTTTAACGATCTTTTTAAAAAACTATTAACAACCCTTTGTATAAACGTGGTGGGGCGACTCTACACTGGGCACATATACTATACAGTACATATTGTACCGGCTCTACACTGGATACATATACTATACAGTACATATTGTACCGGCTCGGATCAAGCAACTTTTAAACTATTAAATCGAACATCTCTGTCCCTCAAAATGTCCAGGGCACTTCTTAAAAAATTAATTCATTTGCCAATTATAATTACACAAACGACATCTAATACAAATTCCGCAGTTTTTCTAGTTCTCACTTTGTTTTATCCGTTGAATTTTGTCAACCCATGCCAATCAAAACAAATATGTAGTTAAGTGATTTATAATTCAACATGAGTTGAACCTCTTTATTTACTTAAATCGATCAACTTATTAATAATGAAACTAGGTTGACCAATCCAACTGTACAAATAGAAAATGATATAAATGTGAGGATTTTATAAATTTCAAATTTCAAAGTTTTTCATGATAAGAGATTTGAATAAAATCTCGAAAAATGAAGATTTAAATTTTTTTGAGAATATTTGAATACCTGGCATTTTATGCAAAACTTCATCTCTCTGCTTTTGTTTGATAAAGTTATGAGAGTTCAAGGTTGATTTATGATCTAGATTCTGTATAGATATATACAGGGTGATGGAATATATAATTAAAACAAATATTTAAAAAGTTTTTTTTGAAAATAAACAGAAAATGGCATCATTAACACATATTAAACAAAGGAATTTAGTCTTTGACACAAACTCTGAACTAGAACGCTGAAACTTCTTCACTTTTCAACATCATTAAAAAACATCATGAAAAAATGTTGGCAACATTTTTTTTAATGCAAATGTGGATGAGTATAGCAGGCCGGGAGGGAAGTGTGGATGAGTATAGCAGGTCGGGAGGGAAGTGTGGATGAGTATAGCAGGCCGGGAGGAAAGTGTGGATGAGTATAGCAGGCCGGGAGGGATGGGTGGATGAGTATAGCAGGCCGGGAGAGAAGTGTGGATGAGTATAGCATGCCGGGAGGGAAGTGTGGATGAGTATAGCAGGTCGGGAGGGAAGTGTGGATGAGTATATCAGGCCGGGAGGGATGGGTGGATGAGTATAAAAATGAAGAAAAGTTTAATGTTGATAAATATACTCTATAGAATGTTTAATATTCTACAGCATAAATCTTCCAAGGGTAGTTTAAAACTTATTTTATGATAGGTTAATGGCACTCTGCCGCCATTCTTCTTAAACCAAACCAAATCCTTACAGACAGAATATTCTAGAAGCTCTTCAGTGATCAGTGAAATGGGGTTTTATCTGTTATACAGGTATTACGTATATAAAAGTTGTTTTCTTGAAAAGTTTAAAATTAAAGTTTAAAATCTTTTTTTCAATCATAAATTTCATAGATTTTATCCCGTTACACGTTTTATCTGACGAATTTTTATCAAAAGCTATATTTTCCAGAAAAAAGTATGTGTTTCCATTTAGAAAAACATTATACAAAACATTATTGTTGTATATGAATAAAAATTCTAAAAGGAGATATATTTCACTCCAAAAAGACCAAACTACAAAAGACTCATTCATCCGATATTAAACGATCTACGAAACATATTATTTATTAAACGCAAAAATACAAACTGCCGATAACTATTGATAAAATATTATTGAAGATGAGAAGACAGAGCTGCAGATCTCGTATTGTTTCAGATACTTCAAGCTGAGATGGTTAATCACCAACTAACTCTCCTCTCCGGTATAAGTTGACCTCACGGGTTCAGCTTGGAATTCCCCGCTTTATCCCTGGGTCAATGTCCGTTCCACTGGAACTGTTCTAAATCAAGAACACAAAGAACGGAACGAAATGGAACGATTGGAAAAAGAGCGAACGATTCAGCTGAAGGCCATCGTTCTAGAATAAAGATTTTAAAAAAGTATGAACACTCCCAGCCTAGCAAACCCCAAGGGGAAACATAAAGTATAATTCTCTCAGTGTATCATCATTAAAGATAATTGGGAAAAGAATAAAGTATAAAATATGTTAAACAAGAAAATTAAATATTATTATGATGTTTTAAATACAATATAAAATTCAACTTATCAACAGATTTTTCAGACATTTCTTATGGTTATTCATATCTATGGATGGAATGCAAACCTTCACCTTCGATTCAGATTTCTTTGGGAGCCATTTTTTATCTATTTTATGTAGATTTTTTACATTTTCTTCTGATCATTTTAGATATACGGTTAACTACTAAATATCTACAATTTGAGTATCTTATTTTGATAGATTTAATAGACAGTCACAACTCACAACTAAATTAAGTCAACTTGTCCAGTTTTTTGTGAGTTGTTCATCTAACCATTCATTAGATTTAAGAAAATGTTTTTATTTGTTTTTTTTTGTTAATAATCCACAAAATAGAAACAGAAAAATCTGCAATCTTATTCTTGTTGAATTATTTAGTGTACAAAAAAATGTTCAAAAGCAACGGTTAAAGATTTATATTCTAACAAGAAAAAGGAACACAAAACGCTTTGGAACTCTTATATATCTATATATATATAAAGATATATATTTATATATTAAAGATACATCTCTCTTAGATTGTGAAACATCTCTCAAAATAGAACCATTGTTGTAGCACTATATACTTTATGTATCTAGGAGAAAGAGTAAATAAATGGTACAATAAACTATTCTAAATGAGCCAAAACATTGGAAATGGTTTTCAGATATATAGGAGGATATTCAACCACTCACTTTACTACAATATATAACATTAAAGAAACTTAAGGGGGAGGGCAAGGGGGGACGAGGGTTAGGCAAAAGAAAAAACGTAGAACAAATTATTTGGTGTCGCCGAAGCTAGATATAAGTCTTGTAAAGCACTTTTTAAAGGACAAGATTCAAAGGAAAGAACAAACTCTAATTTTTCTGCAGACCTTTTATATTTCAAACTATCAAATTTGCTAAATCAAATAGTAAAAATTGGAGTTTTGAAATATAACTGTTTACAACATAAGGTTACGAAGCTATAGTGATTTGAAAGTCATAGTTTGAGCAAGACTTCAGTTTTAAAAAGTTGATTATTGTCGTCGATAATTTCCAAAATGGCCATTTCTGTATCCTTAGAAACCGCGCGCCGCCGAGAATTAACCCTTATACTTAATATTAGTGGACATTTGATCGATCACCATTTGAGAACAAACTCAAAACATGAAAAATTGACAAATTAAACTTAAAGGAATTCATTCATATTGATAGTTACCATGCTCCATTGACTAAAGAATACCCTGTAAAAATTAACCTTTAGACAAAAAAATTAAAAAATTCCATCTAAAAAAACATTTGTTTAGCTACCATTTTTAAATAATATTCAAAAATTAAAAATAATTTTTAATTTTTGACAGGAAAAAAAGAGAGAACCAGATAACCAGATAAGTCTCACTGAACATTTACCGTAAACTCTAATTTTCTAATCTTTATATTTTTGCAATGTTGAAGAGCTTTGTTTTCTAAAGCTTAAGGGATTTGAGAACTAGATTTAATAAGTAACAAAACATATTTCTGGTTTTAACTAATTTTATTCAATTATTTTTTTAAAAACGTTAAATCCTAGAAAATGTAAAAAGATATAAATAAGAATTATTCTGAAGTTAGTCCGGAAATTGATCAAATAAATATTGATTCTAAATAGAGTTTATAAGATTGCATCGGCTACAAATTGAGAAATGCCGGAAGTTTTCTAGCCCCCTACCCATTCGAATCAGGCAAACTTTTTTCTACCAGCCCCCCCCCCTCACCCTCCACTTTTTTCTACCAGCCCCCCCCTCACCCTCCACTTTTTTCTACCAGCCCCCCCCCTTTTTTCGCTTAGTTTTCAAGTTTCACTTACGCTAATGACAAAGTGCATAAAATAAAACTTACAAGCAAAGTTGAATTAGCTTCAGATTTGAATTCAACCTTGTACACTCAGAATCAGATAACATGGCTCATCAATGAAGACAGGGTCGACTTTAAAGTGTTGCAACGCCTTGAGGCTTTGATTTTACCATTAGAACTCTCTTTTACTTTTCTGTAGTCATTTTCATGTACATTTTAGCACTATAAACTGCTTGGTGATAGTTTTAGTTTTAAAGAAGTAATTGGCAAAATTCTCGTCGATTTTTGCTTCAGAGCTTGAGAACATTAAATCACAGTGTGTTTTGCTTGCCGTAGCACCTAGAGATAGGAGCGACCCATTTCGTACGTTTAATTTTTCGAAAAACATTGATTTAGTTTGATCTCAAAATTATCGTTAATTTTCCATCAATTTTGTTAGTTTTTTCACTGAAAGATTGTTCAATAAAATCGTGTAAAACTTTTTTTTTTACTTAATTTTGTTAGACAAAATTTATTGTACAGTAAAACACTTGTTTAAAAATGTTGTTTCAAAAAAATGTTCGTTCATTACAAAAACTACCGTTTATTTCAAAATCTGTCGGAAAATTTGTTTGTCAAGATCGTTCTAGTTTGTAAAAAATTATTTTTTTAAATTTTTTTTTCGTTAAAAAAATTGTTTGATCAAAGTGATTCATCCATCGTTCGGTTTCTCATGAACGACACCATTGTTCATCACAAAAACAAAAACAATGCCCATTCCTAAATAGTGAATTAAGGGTTAACCGAAAACCCACTTTCTCCCTAAAAAGTCTATAAAGAGGCAAACAAGTTTTATTAAAAATTTATTCTTTACAAGTTTGCTTTCGTTACTTTATGCAAAAGTTTGCACTCTGACAGATATTGAAGTTATTTTAATAAAAATTTTATTTTTATAAATTAACTCATTTATTTAACAATTGAGAAAATTTCTTTAGCAAAGACAACGTCTATTAGTTCCATGTAACCGCGACAATAGTTCCATGTAACCTCTACATTAGTTCCATGTAACCTCGACATTAGTTTCATGTAACCTCGACATTAGTTCCATGTAACCTCGACATTAGTTCCATGTAACCTCGACATTAGTTCCATGTAACCTCGACACTAGTTCCATGTAACCTCGACATTAGTTCCATGTAACCTCGACATTAGTTCCATATAACCACGACATTAGTTCCATGTAACCTCGACATTAGTTCCATGTAACCTCGACAGGATCAAATTGCCAGAGGTCAGGTTGACCGACATGTGGAGTATCCTTGAAATCCTGCTCAGACCATCTAAACAATTCAAGATTATGAGTTTCAAATAATTTTAAATATGACACAAAATTTATTGTATATAAAATACAATTAATAAGAAATCAGGGGTGTAAACTGTAAACAGCTGTGAATTTCTCCAGGGGGGCTTGTTTTATTTCCAGAGGGGGCTCGGCAGCCCCTGGAAACCTTTAAACATTTCAGACACTTTTTTAGAAATGAAAGATGTTACTTGATTCGGGGAGAAAAAATAAATGTAGCTGCAAATTGCAACTCGATCTTCTAAACCACTTGATATTTACAAAAGAAACTGAGTTCTTTCAAAGTTAAACCATTTGTTCTCGCAGAAGCGGCAGAATTCATAATTTGTGGAAAAAAACTCAATTCCTTCGAAGATTTGTTAGGATAAAAATTTGAGATACACTTTCAATGCAATTTGAATTTCAATAAAATATCTTGATCAGCTGGTGTTACCTGAAAGGCGGAAGTGGATCCCACGTGGGTCCGCCCTGTGCAATCAGCTGATAGTTTTGCGCCATTTTGTACGAGGTCAACTTCATGTCAGTTCCCCCATGACTTCTATGGCTCAGGGCTGGGAAAGGATAAGTTCCGTTTCTAAATTATCATGTCTGAGGGTGGATTCTATATTTTCTCTGTAATTTATTCAAATTTATTCAAAATACATCAAGAACAGAATACATAAGGTTTATATTCAACTTTATCCAATCTTATAAGTTTTCCGTTTAAAATTTGAAAAAAAAATGATAAAACTTGGCATTTCCGCATCTTTGTTATTTTTTTGCTTACAACTTTAATCCTTACAGTGGGTTGAGATCATTCCTAGCAGATATAGAGTTCTCAGCACTATAGGGAGGACTGCAATCACAAACAGATAAAGGATCCTAAAACATAAATTTTAGTTGTAAACTCAAAAGTTCTACATCGAACACATTTAATTTGCTTTTTTTTAATGTTCGATCCTAGGGCAAAAATTCTGTTTCAAGATCTTTGCAACCTGATGGTTTAAACTTTTGATATTTCAAATTTTCGTAATTTGATCTAACAGATTTCATAGTTTCAAGTTTCTCAGGTCGACGTATTGGGTTGCCAAATCAGAGTTTGAAGCAAAGATTCAAATTCTTTCTTTAACGTGAAACATCACAAAATTGAATACCTCAAAGCAAACTTAAAGGGAGTGTTCGCGAAAAATGAAAGGGGGTATAGGCTTAATGCGATAAAAAAGCGCTTTTGATCGCTACTAATCTTACTGCTATCTGTTGCGTCTATAAGAAGAAAGTTGTTAAAAACGACTCACATTGATTCAGCCTCCTTATAAACAGTCTCATCAATTTTAAAGACAGGGCTGACTTTGAAGTGTCGCAACGCCCTAAGCTTAGATTTTACCGCTCTAACTCACTTATGCTTTTCTGTAGCCCTTTACATGTACATTTTAGCACTGTAAAGCACTTCTTGTTAGATTTGGTTTTTAAGAAGAAATTGGCAAAATTCTCAACGATTTTTGCTAGAGAGCGTGAGACCATTAAATCGCAGTGGACTCACACTGATGAACGCAGCGTCCATACAAATTCGGAAAGATGCAACATTCAACTCGGATCGTAAACAAATCAATTCAATTCCAAACAAATCATTCAGATATTACAACCAATAGTCATCGATTATTTCTATACGCATTTGTATATAGTTAATATTTCATAATATTTTTGATTTTTTTTAAAAATAATTTTCGCTGGCGCTGGATTTTCGAACATTCCTGGAAAATATGAAAATTCAATTACTTCTCCGTGAGAATAAGTAAACCTTTCGTAAAAACTACATTATACCTGGGTATAGTTGTTGTATCTCATTAGTTTAATCATACTGGGGATATCTGTAACTTTTACTGCATCCCTTAACAGAATTAATTTTACAAGGAGTTATTTAGCATGAAAATTCGATTCGAATGACCCATTCGACTTTTTATTAAAGAGTCAAAATAAAAAAGATATAATTTTACTTCCAATAATTTTAATTAACAATGTTTTGTTTACCATAAGTTTATATTGCGGATTAATGCAATAGAAACAAGGAAATATATTGGCACATTGCACTGTCCATCATCCAGAAAAATGTGATGACACTTTAAATAAAGGGTCACTTTAAATAACGTTAACAGTCCCTTTATTTTGTATAAACCTGTGAAAGATTTGAGCTCTTGGAGTTTTCTCGTATGAAAACCAGTCTCCATACTGCTCTACCAATCTATAATTAAATCAGTTTTATACATTAAATGGAATAAAAAGATTAGTAAAATTATAGTTTATAGAATATAAAGATTGAAAATCGTAAGAAATGTTATTACAAAGTTACAAAGTTTTTTTTCTCATTGATTGTTTAGGGGAAGCGGGAGGGGAGTGAATACATATTTTTTTAGTTACCTTTGGTTTCCACTCATATTATAAACATCCTTGAAATACGGGGAATTATAGCTCGGCCAGAATCCCTGGCTTTCAATTATCTAAATTTAGAATATAATAAAACTATAATAATAATAGAATAGAATTGTTAATTACAGAGTTACATGTACTTGTGTCTCAACAAAGCCGACGAAGATATCCTCTTTCTCTTTCTCAAGAAAGGAAGTTAAGAAATTTTACATCTGCTGAGCATAGAAATTAGAAAAGCGACAATATCATTATTACCTAGGGAAAAAATGTGGTTACGATTTTTAGNTTTGTACATGCATCTCATACTTAACACAAGTATTAAGTTGGTCATGTGGCCGCAGCGCCCGGCCCCCTAGCCTGTCCTAGCCACAGAGCTTGGCCCCCTAGCCTGTCCTAGCTGCAGCGCTCGACTCAAAAAGTGTCTTAACCTAACCTAACCCTAAATATATACTAATTTTGTTGGAAATTGTTGAAATTGAAGGCCTGTCCTGGCCGCAGCGCTCGCCCCCTAGCCTATCCTAGCCGCAGCGCAAAATCGTATTTTAGGACAGACCGTTCTGTTGGATAAAAAAAATAAGTTTGACGTCTGCACCATTAGGTTGCAAAGAAAAAGAGATTAGAACATTTGTGTTTGTGAAAAAAACTTAATTCCTTTACCTGAGTAAGATCTTTAGTTTGTATATATCCTGGTATCTGTTCTAGGACCCAGAGAAGATTGGGTTTCAACTCCTTGTCTCCGGGAGTAAACTGGTTGTAATCAACAACCATCCACTGGTTGTTGTAGGTTCCACTATTGTGTATAGAGAATATGTTGGTCCACGATCTGCCATCGGTTGCCAGTCTGTTGGCTACAGTAGATCTAAACATAGTGGTTGCTAGTCTATTGGCTACATTCTAAGCATAGTTGTTGCTAGTCTGTTAGCTACAGTAGCTAGATCTGAACATACCGGTTACTAGTTTATTGGTTACAGTAGATCTAAGCATGTTGGTTGCTAGTCTATTAACTACTGCAGATATAAACATGTTGCTAGTCTATTAACTACAGTTGATATAAACATGTTGCTAGTCTATTAACTACTGCAGATATAAACATGTTGCTATTCTATTAACTACAGTTGATATAAACATGTTGCTAGTCTATTAACTACTGCAGATATAAACATGTTGCTAGTCTATTAACTACAGTTGATATAAACATGTTGCTAGTCTATTAACTATAACAGTTGATATAAACATGTTGCTAGTCTATTAAACACAGTAGATATAAACATGTTGCTTGTTTATCAACTACAGTAGATATAAACATTTTTTCCCGAAAAGGTCAGTAACAAAAAACACAAAGATCAATTATCAATTCGGAAAAATATTGGCTTGATTTTGATTTTATTTCAACATTAAAAAAATTTAGATTTTTCTATAAACATATAAGGAGTTATCAAAATTAGCAAAATATCAATTACTGCTGATCTTTTGGAGGGGGGAGGGGGGGGGTAAAGGAGGATGTTGAAGGGGGGGTTGACAGATACCTGATCCCCTCGAGAACTGAATGAGGGGTGAGCTGAGTCCAAAGATCTGGATTACTGTTTCCAATTGTAGTTTCAAGTACAGTTAACCCTACAGTAGTTCAGTGTAGTGTATAGAATATCAAAGAATGCTCTATAAATCCTTTGTTTCTGAATTCACACTTTAAACTAAACCTAACTAAACTTTAACCTCTTTGTCCTTGTAAAAATCTTTTTAAAAAGTTCAAAACGTTTGAAAAATCTTCATATCTGAGATTTCAAAAAATGTTTGTGAATTTTGTTCAGATTTCGACGATTTTGGTTTTAATAAACAAATTGAAATCTCAACAAAATTTTTTATACTAATTAGAGGGTTTTCGTTTGAATGATAATACAATAGTGAAATA